TTATGGAGCATCTGCCAATTCAGTTATCATACGAGGTAAAAGTTTATGGATTTGTCTAGAATTGATGGATGTATTCAAAAGATAGTACATTTTTTAATATGATTTATTTCATATATGTTGAAGAAAACCAAATATGGTTAATCAATTTTATTTCAATAATGATAATTAGGCTTTTGTTTCATTTAAAGAAGAAAGTTAAAAATCAAGCTTGTGTTGAAGATCAATATGTTAAGCATATATTATGGTAGAAATTGCATCCTTTTTATGCCTTCTATTTTGAACCTAACATGCAAACAAGACTTAATTAGGTGTCACAATTGGGAAAGGTAGATCGTATGAAATGTCTTTCAATTTTCAAACATCCTAAGTGACCCTTCGATTCATCAAAGAATAACATTCGATATTTAGATAAAGCAGAGTATGATGTAGCATAAATATATGCCTTAATGAATTACGAGGAAATGCTTTCATATATTGAGTAAGTATATATTAATCATAAACTATATAGCTAATCATTTAGTATTATGCATCATGGTTGATCTGACTCGTATACTACAATGATAGGATATTTGATGAGACCGTGAAGATGGATGCACCGTTAATGAATAATGAGGAGTTAGAGATTGTATGTGAAGAAAGATTTAAGAAATGGTATAAACAATTTGTAAGTTAAGGTTTCAAATTATGGGATTACATTATATGAGAATCGTTATTTATTATTTACATTTTTCAGGTTTAAGAACATGCTAATGAAACTAATCCTCTTATCATCGAGCTCTTTCATAGCCCCAGAATGTATGGCAAGGTGAGACTAAGGATATTTTGTCAATGGTTACAAGTTTCACAAATTAGGTTATAAGCAAACCAAAAAAAACATGTTACAATGATTTTAAACATGACTTTTACGATATTTTCGTAGGTATCATCGAGTTGGAATATTTTGAGATTGCTAATAGGCTTGTACTTTTTAAATGTCACTGGTTCGATATATCTGAAAGTGTTCATGTAGATCCCCATCATGGTCTTATTGACGTTAAATACAAGCCAACACTTGCTAGTAATGAACTATTTGTCTTTGATTCTCAAGCTTAACAAGTATACTATAGTAGTTATCCATCTAAAAAGAAAGCTAGTCAAAATTGGTAGGCTATGTTCAAAACAACAGCTAAGAGTAGATTTGACTATAGTACTCATGATGGAAGTTTAATTGACCTCACTGAAGGTGTTTACCAAGAACTAAGAGTGTCTAATACAAGAATTGTTACATCCTCATAAGAACTTGATAATCCTAGAGTTATTGGTAATGATAATTATGAAAAATTAATTTTCAAGAACAACATGATAAGAACATGCACAAGAAAAAAATAGAAAAGAAAAAGATGAATATGATGATCTAGATGATGAGGGAGAAGATGAAGAATAAAAAGAAAAAAAAAGATGATAATGATAATGATGAACATGAAAATGGAAAATATGGAAAATATAAAAAAGAATATGAAAATGAAGAGGAAGAAGAAGATGATTAATATGAAATTATTGCTTATGAATAATGTCTAATTTAATTTTATTACTTGTGACTTTCCTTGAGATATAATACATGTTATATTTTTATTTTTAGATATTCATGTATTCATATATGGTTGATATATGTTGCCGAATTATGTTGTTATTGCTTATATATGCTATTGAATATATTATTATATTTTGTTTAATCTAATTTAATTATTATTTTTGTTATATTTTATAGTCATAATGCCTAAAGGAAAGGTTTCTAACAAATCCAAAGTTGGATCTCCACCAATACTACCTTAATTTTGACAACACCAAATGGTCGAGCCTCTACCCATAAACCCTCTAGCAACAGAGAACCCATCCTTTAAGTCTCCAAGCACAAAGACTGCCCCCACAAATCACTTTATATAGAGTATTCCAACTATGGAGCCACAATCTTCTGACATTGTTAATGGTCTTCAGACCACTGCACATGAGTCAACCTCGTTAAAACAAACAAAAAAGCCTACTCAATGTTTATCCATGCTCAAATTTGCTTATCATGGAACATATCATGTCTAATTGGTTAAGTGTCTCATTTTAAAAACTCCATTGTGTTGTGATGTTTCCAGTGGAGTCCATTAAAAAAGCATCTCATCTCTTTTGGACAACTTAAAAACTTTTGGCTTTAATATTCTCCACCATGATCTGTTTTTTTACCTTTTTGCTTTTTCAACCTGATATTTAAATTTTTTAACTTTTCAAAGGATTTAGATTTATGTTTTGTTAGATATACATAACCATATCTAGAATGGCCATCCGTAAATATTGTAATGAAATATGAATAACTCCCCCTAGGCATTTCTATTCATTGGACCATATAAATTTCAATTTACTAATCCAAGAGTCATAGTAGCTTTTTCACCTTTTCCTAGAAATAGTGATTTGGTTATTTTTCCTAAAAAATATGATTCACAAGTTTCATAAGATTCATAATAAAAAAGATTAAAGTATCATTGTTTATGCAACTTTTTTATTCTCATTTGATTTATGTGACCAAGCCTAAAATGTCATATGTAATATTATTTAGTTTATCTATTTTAGGTTTCTTAGCATTTATAATTGCTTGTTAATTCTGAGACTAAACCCATTGGTAAAGATAAACAACAAGTCTCTATAACCACAACCGCAACTCTTGCTCCATTTCTAATTCTTAAGTAAACTACATTCTTTGCCAAGTTTTTATTATTCTTTAGATCATGTATGTCAATACATAAATGAGAACCACATGTGATATCTAATATCCATGATCTGAAGAATAAGTACAATGGTTTATCTCAATCATAAACAAAGGAATACAAAGATAAGCACATCATAAACTAGCATTACGAAAATCGAAATTCATACCTATAACCCTTGTGGTTATCAATTTAGGGTTTCTTGACCCAAAAGACTTCAAAACCTTTTAGTTAGGTTGTAGCAAACCTTTTAAGTATCAAATTATCTAGCCACCAATAGTATCCATATGAACAATCAAAGAGAAATCATCGTAGATAGTAAAGGTACCAAAAACTAAAACCCTTAGTTTTAGCTTAGGATTCTTGCCTCTTAATTTAGCAATGTTATTTTTATACCTTTTATGTCACTATCTCATGAAGAATGGCTAAGGGCACTTTATATAGAAGGAATATGAGAGCCCATATTTAACTCCTATTCTAAAAGAGGTTTGCTTTTTTTATTTTTATCTCATATTTTGACCCCTTGGACTCTTGAATTTAATCAATTAAATACCTAAAGTTTCAAACATTATTTCAATCAAGTCCAATTTGATTTTTTTTTCAATTTTATTTTCTTAATAATTATTCTTAATATATGTAAGCCACTAAATCCTTAATATGTTGGCAATAAGTATGAACATTAGTAATCCTAGTGGAAGTAGGATTAAATGGATCACACTCATTTGCTTCATCATTAATTCAAAATTAATCCAAATCATATTTATATATAAAGATTGATATCCAGCAATGTGTCATGACCAACCAACAAATAACAAGAGTTAAGAAGGTTTGATGTAACCTATCAGTGCATGGTCTTTAAGTACGTAATTCAATCCTTTCATCACAATATCCCAATGATGCTATCACATTGCCTACTGTCTACTCTATGTGCCCCAACCTTTGTGATTCTTCATTCCTGAAACTATTAACTCCTCAAATGATCATATTCAAAATTTCCTTTCATTTTACAAAGATTTAAGAGATAATTCATCTTTAAAATAGTGAGATATTCACAAGATCACATAAGGTGATGAATCCTATGGAACATCCTTGGCTTGGACCATCGTAGGAATGGTATAGAAGAATATCACTTATCATATAAGTTGGATATTTATCTTTAGTAAAAATATTACTTATACAACCATCACATAGAATATTATCTTAGACATTTAAGTGTATATATAGCATGTGATATTCTCATTGCAAGTTATGTTCAGTGTATTTGTCTTTGTAATAGGCATATACATATTTAGTTGAAGAATGTTCATACCTAAGCTTATAAAATCAACTACTTACCTCCTAAATAAGAGTATGAATATTAGCTGGTCTCAAGTGCTTATAAAAATATCTATTTCTTGACAAAGCATTAATATGAACAATTTTAGGAATATTGTTTTGATACAAAAAGATCTCATAATTACAATTAATTTATATTTCTCTTTGCGAAGGATATTATTCCATAAACTTTAACTTATTTAGTATAATTGAAAAGGTTAATGTTGTGAATGGTCTTTGAATTATAATATATTTAATGTGATGCTTAAATTTTAAAAATATTTAATGTGGTACTTGAATTATAAATTTATTAAATAATTTAGTACTCAACATTAATGTAACTAGCTCTAAATGAAACATGATGCACAACATTTAGATATTTTAAAAATTTAAGTATCACATTAAACATTTTACTATAATTTAGGCGTTATTCGTAACATTAACCCAATTGAAAATAAACAAACTAAAAGTTAATGCTTTTTTATTTTCTGAAAAGTTAATGCCGTTAATTCTAAATGAAATGCTTCTACAACAAATGATTCTATAGTCTAATTCATATATGGCCATAAATGCTAACTACAACAATTCTCTCCATGAAGCGATGAAACCATAATAATGAATGAATGTTGGCGCAGCTATTATATATACTCACCTCGTGATCGTTATATGATTTGAACTTGACACCTAATTGGGAGGAAATGGTTGTAACTTCAGTGAGGTTGTAAAGGTTAAAATTCCTTTTATGAGTGATTGTGTTAGAATTTACAACTTTCTTTGTTATTTGCTTTAAGAATATAGTGATTTTAGAACGATTGTCCAATGTTGTTTTTTCTTTAATTGGTATAAAATGTGTTCCTTTAATCTATAATAATCTGTTGACTGCCTTTCATTTTTTTCAATATGCTATGGGGTACTGTAATTGAAAATAAGATTTAATTATATGATGATCATCTCCATTACATTACATTGTATTAAGAATAACTCACCAAATCCAAAAGACAGAAAAAGCAAAAACATAAACAAATAAAAACCAATATACATATATCAATTGAAACAACTCAGAAACCCCAAGAAAAGGCCTCCTATAAAATGAAATAATTAAAAAAGTAAAACAAGTTTGAGCAGCATAGGCACTAACCAAACCCGCATGTCAACATTAATATATATATGTTATAATTTTAGACTTGGAAAGGCCATGGCCAGTCCTTCAAATCCTCATCGTGTTGCACTTTTGCAGTTTTCTTCATAGCAGCGGAATTCCCATTAACATCACCTTCCACATATGCATAGTACTTCAAGAAGAAAGCAAGTGTCATAACCACCCACTCCAGGCAAAACATCACAGCACATAGCCCACCAGCCAGCTTCAAGATCACCGCCCCATCTTCTTCCCTCACATAAGACTTCAAATTACCCAGAAGATCACTTGTCCTCGTGAAGATCAACACTGACACTGATCCTTGAAATATCGCTGTCAACACTGTGGCCACCATGTGCGCCGCATACCATCTGTTAGTCCCTAAACAGGCGGCGATGCAGCCGGACACTGCCCCTGCTATGGTTAAAGCGTGGAGAAGAATCAAGAAGAAGCCACAGACGGAAGGGAATAAGCGAAGAGAAAGAGTGAGGAAAATGCAACTAGAGGCTGCACCAAGAAGGATGTAGTTGAAGAAGAGGAAAATCTTGTGGGTATAGTAGTGGGATTGAGTAATTGTAGTTTGATGAATAGTGTTCAAGTGGATACCCATTGGTGTGATTTGATGAAATTTTGATTGGTTCGCAATGATTTTTCAAATCCGAGAAAAGACGGGGAATATGGTGAAGATATAAACAGCCAGGACTGATGCCTAAGCTTAACGGATATTTTGACTTCCAAAAACCATTTATGACCGTTGCGAGGACCCACTTTACACACACTGTAACGGCTACTTTGCTTTGGGTTCTTCTAACTCAATTAAGGCTGATTAATTTGGAACTTTTGAACTTTGCTTTTATTAATTTAAATAAGTTCATATATTTTGATTGCATTCAATACTCTTAAAGGCGTTTGATTAGGAAGAATTCACATATTTTCCTTCGAAATTTTATTGTTAGATATTTGATTCCAATGTTTTGTTCAAAATCATCTTATTTCAAAAAAATTTAAAATATTCTCAACAATACCCAAAGTCCTAGAATCAAAAACTTACATCTTTTTATGATATGTTAGGATTTTAAAAGAGAAAGTAATGTTATTTTCAAATTTGATTTGAATAAAAACGTCTGAAATAGGAAGAATTCACATATTTTCCTTCGAAATTTTATTGTTAGATATTTGATTCCAATGTTTTGTTCAAAATCATCTTATTTCAAAAAAATTTAAAATATTCTCAACAATACCCAAAGTCCTAGAATCAAAAACTTACATCTTTTTATGATATGTTAGGATTTTAAAAGAGAAAGTAGTGTTATTTTCAAATTTGATTTGAATAAAAACGTTTGAAATAGCCGTTATCATTTTGAATAATTTAAAAAAAAAATTTTAAGAGGTTATTGAAAGCGTTTCTGACAAAAAATGCATTCAATAATACCCTCATAAATTTTTATGAAGTGATTACTCAAGATGTTTTTAGCTAAAAACATCTTGAATAATCTAAAAAATAATTTTAATGGGGTTATTGAATGCCTCTCTAGCCAAAAGCGCATTGAACAATCACAAAAAAAAATTTTAATGGGGTTATTTAAGATATTTCTTATCATGAATTTTTTTAATAATCCCCTTATAAAAATTTTTGTAAAGATTATTCAAGACGTTTTCAAGCTTAAAACACTGTGCATAATCCACTTCAATTCAAAATTGGATTCTTTAAGTTTCCATCATCTATGCTAAAAAAATTATAGTAATTATTCAGGATTTAATATATGTGAATCCTCCCAAATAAATAGTGAACCTGAACACAAAATACCCTGAAAATGAAAAAAAAAATGTAAGTATTGTATTTTCTCGATGATCACACACTTTTTTCAAAATCTACGATTTTAATTTATATTGAAATATGCTTTTAATCTTTAATTTATATTCAAAGAAATTCTTAACTTTTAATTTATACATAAATAAATTTTGAAGATAAATAATTTTCTGTTTAAATAAAAACCTATATTAATATAAATCAAAATATAAAAAATTATTCAAGTGCAATAAAAATATAAAAAAATTTTAAAATGTAAAATAATTCATGAACTTTTTTGATATTTTAATCTTATTCCCGCAAGTAGATATGTCTTTTCTGTTGTATGAATCAACAATGAAAACCAGTGAAAAAACCAATCTACAAATTAAAAACTTTTTCAATGGAATCACATATGATTAATCATATTGGAAAAAAAAAAAAGACACATCTTATTTCATTTGAAAATTATTCACTAATATAAATGATAGAATTAACTAACTTATTCAAAATATTATAATGCAAAAATAATTTAATAAAATTATTATACAGTCAACGAGATTTTATATATAGAAATTTGTGTAATCTTATTTATGATCGGACAATTGCAATTTTTTTCTTCTATTAAAATTATTTGAATAAGAATAAATGATATTTTTGTTTTGTAAGATTGAATTACACTAAAAAGCTACCCGCACTTTACTGCGAGTGTATGATTTTAATTACTTGAACATATTTGATTTTAAAATAACAAAATAGTTAAAAAGTAATAATGTAATAAATTAAAAAAATAAAATAAAACATATTATAATATTTAAACAAATTATAGTAGAAAAATTACAGCAAGCAAATCAGTTTCAAAAAATGTAAACAAAAAAAAAATCTACACCCCAAAAATTAGATAAACAAAGAGCGTAAAAAATACTAACTAAAGTGAAAGCTTGATCACGGCTGCCTCCTCTGCTAGAAACCCAATTTTCTACGGCATCTTCTTCCTCTTCATTTACTCATATCGCAATGTGACTTACCACGAACAATCTTTTTGTATCTTTCAAAATCCATTCATTGAAAAAAAAAAAAAAGTTTTCTAGTCAAGAAGTCTAGCAAAAAATTATAAAAGAATTCCAATTATCATCCATTAAGTATAATTAACTCACCTACATTGTTATCAAACTTGTTATCAGTGTTTCTTTCCCCTAATCCTCACTAAAATTTTTAGGAAAAAATTAAGAAAAATTACAAGAAAAGCCTCAAATTTGTTGTTATTGGATGTATTATGATCAATTTTTTTTTTTTTTTTTAAAATGACAATCAATACTTTCAAAAGATTTGACGTTGAAGTAGTCATTTCCAAGCAGCCAAACTTGCATCTTTATTAATTTGGTGTAAATCACTACAAGTGCACAAGCATTCCGCTAATAAAAGTAGTGAGTTGAATATTATTCTCTTGAGAAATGATTTGGGGATTGCTTAGGTCTAAGTACCAATGGATAACACTCAAACCAAATTTAGTCCGTTCGAGTTACAACATAACCTAATCTATGAACTAAAAACACAAAAAAAATATATATATGAAATGCAGCATGAAAACTGCAAAGAAAATGCATCAAATATAAGTGAACAGAATCTAAGATCTAAGTGCATTGATAAAGGACATGTAATGAAAAACAATTAAACCTAGTTCTAACAAGCAATTAAGACCAATGCATGAAAATGAGAAGAAACTGAAATTACAAAGCTTAAACCAAAAACAGAATGTAAAGTAGAATCTGAATTTTCAGCAAACGTAAACTTAGATCTAGATTTCAATTGAGAAAATGAACTTAAAAGGAATTAAGGACTTCAATGTCAGTAAGTAAACTACAAAATCTACAAAAGAGATAAGCTCAAAACACTTAAAAACAAGCTCAATTAACTAAATCAAAATTCAGCATTCAAAACAAAGAAAACGAAGTACAGAACATTCAAACTAAGAAATCAACATGTAAAAGCATAAAGTTAAAGGCTAGCAAATGTAAAACAACATATAAACTCAACAGTCAACAAAGAATGAGAGGGAGAAGAGAATGTACCACCGCCTAGCTTGCTGGAGAATGCTCTTTCTCCTCCTTTGCCAGCAACACCAGCTGAGATTTCCAATATTTATTGAGAAAAATGTAGTGTGAATTTGATAATGGAATTTTGCAAATTTGTAGATTAACAAGTTGAGAATATGTAGTAAAATTTCAGAGAAAAATCGCAAGAAAATCAGAATGATCAAATGCAAAAACCGAAAGAAGACAGTGCAGGGAATTAGCCAAACAACAATGAAGAACAACTTGAAATTGCAAGAAAATGAATCAAATTGCATGTAAATTTATAAAGAATGTTAAAAGAACTTTAAATTGCATAAAATTTAAAGTACTTAAATAGAAAATGTGCAAGAAAAAAGTAGTTTTTGGCAGCCAAGAAAGTGAAGGAAAATAGAAAATGTAAAAATAGAAATTGCAAGTGAAATTAAAAGAAACCAACAAGGAAAATGAATGTAGATGCAAAGAACATTAAAGTGCAAGTAAAGAACAATTAAAGAAAAGTGCTTGAAATAAAGAAAAAATTGAAAAAGAATGGTTTTGGAAAGAAAGGAAATGCAAGAAAATTAAATCTACTATACACTACTCCTAATCCCAAGCTAAATGCAAAAAAACAAATTTAATCTCTAATCTCCTTCAAATGGCAACAAATGGGGGGGTATTAGTAGGCAAGTGATGATGCATTTGGACCAATGGAAGCTCTCTACTTTGCCAAGTCAGCCTTCAAATCAGCAAGCAAAGTGCTCTCAACAAGTTTCCTACCACTCCTAGCATTTACGGTTTTTTCTCTTCTTAGGGGTGTTTTGAGCTACATTTTGGTGATCCAAGTGCTTCTCCAATTAGCCAGTAGGAAGTCTTCAAAATGCCAAGTTAGCCACTACTCTCCTCAAGTCTTAGAAGCTATATTTTGTGTTCACGCTTACATGTAAAAACTGTCCAAATTGCCAAACATTGTTGTCAACCATTACTCTTCAAATTACTAATTTTGTTGGGATCTTTGTGCTCCAATTTTAACCAATGAAATAAAAGGCCAGCTTGGCAACTCCTTCCTTAACCAAATTTCATCTAGTTTTAGCTTTTAATTTAGCTCCACAAACTGCACCATCAAGCTACTTATTTTCCTTTGTCTTGTAAACAATTTCTTTCAACTTATTCACCCTCCTTATAGCTCCATAATGGATTTACACACGTTGGTCACTAGCTAGCATGACTTGAACACTTCAAACAAGCTTCATTACACCTTTGGCTAACTCAACTAAGCTCACACGCCTTGCTCACTTAGTTTCTCATCAATTCAACTATAGGTTCGACCATCTAGCACATTTAGCTCCAAATTCATCCCCAATCATTCCAAATTGTCCACATTTGCCTTTTTCTTTTTTCCTTATTTTACTAAATATTACCTACACATGAGAAATTTCACCAACTAGGAATATATTTTAATGACTTTTTTAAGAAATAAGTAAAAATATAACATAGCACTATGAAAATTCTATAAAATTATAAAATTATCACACCCTAAAACTTAGATTTTTACTTATCCTAAAAAAAAAAAGATAGTGCAAAAATCACCATCCACTTCTAATGATCCATTCAACACAAATTCCTCATGGATTGCCTAACAAGTATAACTAAAAAAAAAATCACAAGCATTGGCTAAATTAGAAGAATCATCCTAGAATAAGCTGCTTCCTAATTAGAGTTCCATTATAAGTCATATCTCTCTCATATCATTGCATGAAATCTAATGATGATTATGCAAAACATGAAATTTTGAACAAAAATCAACAAAGAGTGGACATGTTTCATATATTTGCTCTCACTTCTCTCCACTAATGTAGATAGATACATAACTAAGGATCAAT